GGGTTCTGCCTAGCTATGGCGCGTCTGACACCATCGACCTCCATATCCCTAGGCACATCGTACAAAATAACACGGGGCCTCCTAGCGGCCGGACGGGCCACCGTGAGACCCTTTTCCTTAATTGCCTGGTTGGCAACAATCTTGTCCGCATCCGCCTTTGAGTGCGCCTGAACTATTATCCTTCCATCCCCAGCCTTTCTTATATTTCTGACTCTAATATTTGACGCTACCGGGTCTATTACCTTCAGTAGCGTCTTTTTTATATCCTTGACTGACCTTTTGTCGGCACCGCTCGCCACAACAACCGAGCAGTCCCTATCTCGCGGTCCGTTCTCGCTCCTGGTTGCTGGTGCCGCAGCAACTCCCGGACCGGTCTTAGGACCGGGTTCTTGCCTACCAACCGCCTTCGCAAACGTTACAGGCGGCGGCCGTGTCACCGGTGTCGGGCGATTCGCCTCCGACCTCTCCGCCAGACGACCCCTCAAAAATGTGTTCTCACACCCCAGCTGCATGACCAGCTTGTTGGTCTCGCTGAACAGCGCGGAGACCTTTTGTGCCGCTGACTTGCTAAATTTCGCATTGGGGTCCGACAAGATGCACTCCAACTTGAGTCGGATGTCATGCATTGTTTTAGCAGCCATCATCTCCTTTTTCGCCGCACCATCCCAAACAAACACGTCATCGTCATCAGACTCAGTGTCGTTCACGCTCTCGCTGTCACCAAGCATGGGCAAGACCGAGTTCGCCCGCTGCTGACCGGTCCCTCTGGCCATACCTCCTCCTACGACTTCATTCGACTCGCTCTGCGTGTCCCTAATTGATGTCTGAGAGCCAGGCGGGCTCCTCTTCAACTTCCCACTACGTGGGAACGTACGTTGAAGGGGATCACCCACCAAACTCTCCTCGTCCGTCCCTGTCTCGTCTAACGTCTGCGTATTTGCCCACTTTTTCAGTTCGTGCGTGGGTGTCTTCTCCGCGACCTTTACGTCAACTTTAGACAGTGCCACCGACACTGCCTTTGTGATCACTTTCTGTCCAGACACCTTGTCGCTGCCTGTCACCGTCTTTGTCACAGTCTTGTCCGTATCCGAAGCCTTGTCCATTTCCGTTCTTGCCTTTTTGTCAACAGTTTTTTGTCCGTCCGGGTTGGGGGTGTTTTTCGTGGTCTTCATCATGCATGTAATTTAAATGTTACGACGGTTCGGCCATCATGGCAGCCCATACGCATATGGGCATCTATCCCCGCCGTTTCAAAGCCCTAGTTAAACTGCATGAAACCTGAGAAGCAGCTTGTCGGGTGATCAGCCCTATTCATGCAGACGTGACTCTATAAAAAGGTTATGTAATTTGATGCTAAAGGTTTAACGTCACCCCTACTGATTGAGCACGTATGCTCCGAGACACCGCCCACTCAAAGTTCGGGCTAGACGTTGCCAGTCTATCTTCCCACTAGCAGGATATGAGGAAATAGTGATCAGCTAATCCTCCACACATGTGCCCGGGGGGGCCGACTTCAACTCCCGAATAGGCTCCGCCCGGATACGGACAGCGGTTCTTCCACATTGAACATGCGGTTTCACATGGACTTTACTGGCACTAGGCCAGAACTTACCATTTATTACGCCGCAGAGGTCAGGTACTAACATGACCGCATCCTACGGTCGTGGGGTCTACTACTCCCCACTTGGTTAGTCTTCGAGAAATATCCATCGACACCCGACCGCATCTCTGGCACTCGACGATTACAATTACAAACACGCAAACAAACATCGACACGCACACACTCACACACCCCCCAGAACCGCCGCACCCCCTCCGGAAAGAGCCGGTAGCAGCCCGAAGGCCCGCTGGCCGGGAGAAGCCCGCGTATCGCCTTAACTCCGTTGGCCTACGACGGCTAAGGCCAAAGCCTGAGCCAAATCATAGTTACCGGTGGGAACCACGATGGAGGTGGAGTTCGGCTTGACTGTGATAGGCTAAGTGCTGCGGCACAGCATGTATTGCGCTTCAACAGTCCTGTAGATCATGACTTTGTACGACCCGAAGAACATCGCCGACCTCAAAAGATCGGCGCCGCGTGTTGCTTTAGGTGGTGTTTAGCAATCAAACCTAAAGTTTTCCGCGGCGTGTTGCCTCCGGCGGCGAGTAGCTCAGCCGCGTGTTGCTTTGCGGGCAGACACGCGGCGTGTTGCTTCCGCTGACGACGGTCACTCAGCGGCGTGTTGCTTTGTGGGCACTCACGCGGCGTGTTGCTTCCGCCGACGGCAGAGTCGCCGCCGACGGCAACACCCACGAGAAAACCAAGTTCGCCCGCGGCGCGTCACTCCGAGTCCGACGACTCGCGATGCCAAGTTTTTCTAGGCGTGTTGCTTTACAAAAGCAACTAAACCGAACTGAGTACGACGACTCATTCTACCAAGTTTTCCGCGGCGTGTTGTTTTCTAAAAATTTGTCGGGGGTTGTCACCCACCGTTCAAATAACACCTAAGTGTTATGACGCCCTACTCTCCCGCCGTGCGTGGCGCAACACAGCAGGAGAGCAGAACGCCCTTGGACCGCCTCTCACTCGCAACACTGCCGGGACGGGCCAGCTAGCTCTCCGGGTACGCCACGTCTCAAGAGAGACACCCAGAGGCTCCACTGAGCCCTTTTACCCCATTTCGGGATCACCAGACAGATATGCGAGCGCGTCTAGAGGACGGCCCGTGCATCACGAGCTGACCGGCATGATCGGGTCACAGGCGAGTGACTCCGACCATAAACCGTCGCCCGAGTAGTTATCCCTGTACTTACAAAGCAGCAGCACGCCGCATTTCTCTACTTCGCTCAGCACGTGGGCGCCTAAGCGCTTTGCCATTGTGAGCACCGTTCCCTGAAAGTGCTATTTCCCGTAAGTCATGTCTACTCTCACCAGTAGATAGGGACAGTGGGAATCTCGTTAATCCATTCATGCGCGTCACTAATTAGATGACGAGGCATTTGGCTACTGTTAAGAGAGTCATAGTTACGACCGCACCGGGGGGTCTGGGGGGGCGGTTAGCCCCCCCAGAATCCTCCCGTGGTCGGAGTGCAATCAACGTCAGCAGTACTTCCCTTCGCGCTAGAATCGGAGCCGACACCGGGGATTTCCCCCTTACAGAGCCCATACCTGACGATTACGTACTCCCGGACAAGCCGACCCTTCAAACGTAGGAGTACGGTTTCCCGTAACGCACATATGACTCACTATTGTACCTGTGGTGTTCCCCAGGTAGCAGGGTTAATCCTGCAGCGAGCATGACCTACTCGGATTAGATCAGCTCTACTGACAAGACCGGGGTGCCAAGGCACCCCACTAACAGGTAATGCGCAACATGAGCTTCATAGCGCTAACCCACACTAGGCCCTCTATGCCGCTCACTCGGCTATGCGAAACCTCTGCCCCTACGAGTCCGACACCATCTGGTAGGGCACCGGTAGCCTCCCGGTGGGGCTCCCTACCCCCGTAGTACTCGTGTCGAGCGATCTTAGCTCACGTTTGACGAGTTGCCGTCGCTGGTGCCATGCCACCAGCTACCACGTAATCGCACGAGTCACCCCGTACTGTTAACGCGTCGCTCATCGGTTGCCCGGGGATCCGGGATTCGGTAGCAGTCGACGCGCCTTAGAAATATACGGCACGTGGTGCGCCATATACCCCGCTCGTATTGGGCACCTCCCACGCACGAGCACGCCGCGCTCGCCTCGCGAAACGCTACCCTGTTCAGTACTACCGGCTGCATCCGTTACCCAGCTACCTGGGATTGGGCAGCAGCCCAGCAGTTTTATGGGTAAAGGGCACAGGGTGCACCGTTTACCCGCGCTTGCTTGAATTTCTTCACGTTGACATTCAGAGCACTGGGCAGAAATCACATTGCGTCAACACCCGCGAGGGCCATCGCAATGCTTTGTTTTAATTAGACAGTCGGATTCCCCTAGTCCGTGCCAGTTCTGAGCTGAGCGTTGAATGGCGGCCGAAGAGGACGACCACGACGGCTCGCGCCGCCACGGAAGCCTCGCAGCAAGGAAGATCCGCGGGAGGCCAAGACACGGGACCGAGCTCGGATCCCCGGGACCGGCGCGAGAACGCCGATCGGTTCACCTCGCCCAGGCCCGGCACGTCAGCCGCTCCTCAGAGCCAATCCTTATTCCGAAGTTACGGATCCAATTTGCCGACTTCTCTTACCTGCTTCGCCCGTCGCCGGCTTGCGGCGATTCGCCCGGCGTACCCCGCAAGTCCAAAGGTGGTAATATAATCCCGTTTATCAATGCTCTACGTAGAACTTTAATCGTATCTGATTTCAAGTACGGATACGTGCCCATAGAAATTAGATTCCTGAAAGTCGGTTGGTCCCATAAGATGGGCTTTAAAATGGCGGTGATACTTTGAAAAAGATGAATGGCAGAGTGGATGAGATTTGGAGGAGGCGGATGGTCGCAGGACGCGGTATACGTCGTTGCCCAAAGACACGAATCGATGCAACGCTGACAGAGCGTTTCCTTAGCCTTCGGTCTTCTGGCTATCCAATGACACCATGCTTGAAGAGAAGCCAAAAGCTGTGAATGTACTTCTATGAGATCTATTACGATAGCGGCTGGTTGTATCGCTGCTTTATACAGCTGATTATCTCTCGCAAACATACACGCCTCTAGAGTTTGTGACACAACTTCTTCGGCTAAACCTTGATCGATGTTTGCTTGATCTCCGATGAAAAGGAAATATAGCCTGGTTAAAGCTTGCGTAATCGATGCTAGATCTCTCAGATGTGCATGCACATTTGATGCCTCTGCATCATTTAATAAAATAACTCGGCCATTAGCGACTGCCGCGCCTAATTCACCAAAAACGATTAATCCTTCTCTCCACGAACGGTACAATAACGTAAATATCGGGATAGGTGAAATGTCAGCAATCTTTGCCAAACATTCTATATTGCACCTTAGAAAATGTTGCCATTCTGTTTCTTCATTCTCGTCCAAATTTTCCGTGTCGAGATCTCTCAATACCCGAGCGTTCAATTTAAAACTCATTTTTTGTAAGATCCGCTCCAATAATGTATTTACTGGAAACTTTGAGCTTGACTCCATCTTTTTCATGTGATTCGTTATAAACAATTGCAAAAACTCGGTCATTTTTTCCATGTAGCTCTCCTCTACCGAGTCCAGACGTTCCATTAACTGGAATAAACCAACGCCATTCTGAAATATCTCCAGTAACAATGTATCAGTCTCGTCGGGCGAGAATGGTCTGTATAAAAGTTCATGGATTGTAGTCAAAGCTTGAACGGCCATCTCAATTTGCTTGCCATTCATCGCATCGTGGTATTTGGCACATGTAAAAATGGCATCTATCAAGTTACTGGAGATACTGCCCGACACGTCTATCCAACTAAACAGGTGCGCCAGAACTTCAAGAGTAGCTGTGCAAACTTCACTCGTTCCCGTTGCTAATCCCTCGACGTCCAGCACCGCTCGCGCAGGTGCAAGACTTTGTCCGCTGGTAGGTGACGGAGGTGGTGTCACGGTCCCAGAACGGCTTTGCACGTTTGTAGTTTCTTTCAGAAGAACTGTAAGTGTATCCAAAGTCAGAGGCACTTGTGCACTTAACAGCCTGAATAGCTCGCTTTTCCTGTGCATTGGTAAATCCTCTCTCGGCGTGGCTAGTTCCTCCAAAGCTGTTCTCAAATATACAAGTCCCAGCAGTCTTGTGTGTTTGTGGCCCAACAGCTGTAAAATATTAGAGTAAAAATCCGGATAGAAATGCGGCCAGTCGTGTCTCGCTATGTCCACTACCAGTTTCAGTAGGGGGGCAACAGGTACTTTTACACTCGGGGATCTCGCTTGCGGTTACGCGGCGTCGGGGGGGGCTTCGCTGCCGCGGGGGGAGCGCCGTAAGCGGTGGGCGCGGGGGTCGAGGGACGGTGTAAAGGGTCATCGGAGGGGGGCTATGCGGAGGGAAGCGAAAACTGGGCGAGAGGGGGTGCGCGACGCGAGGGGAACATTTGACGGAAGGTTGGGTGCGTCAGGGCCGCCAACGGGGGTTCGGCGCGGGGCAGGGCCGCCAACGGGGGGGCTCGTAGCGGGGATTTGGGCATTTTCCGAGAGGGCGCTCGGAGCGGCGCTCGCGCCGTTACCGACGGCGGTTTTGGGAGAATCGCGGGCCGATATTTTTCGTTTGTTTTTTATTTTTTTCTTTTCTTTTCATCGTCGTCGGTCGCGCGCGCGCGCGTTCGGGCGCGTCCGAACTCGTTCGAACTCGTTCGAGGTCGCTCGTCCGGACGTTTCGGGAATTGGGGGAGGGGAGAACGACGCGTTCCGGACGGTTCGTTTCGCGGGGGGAGGGGTGTCGCGCGCCCGTCGTCGTCGTTTTGTTTTGTTTTTGTTTTTCAACTCTCGGTCCGAAGGTTGTTTCGATCCCGCGGCGGCGACGGGCAGCACGTGGTTTTCCCGACTCGTCGGGATCGATGGAGATGACTCATCGTCTAGTCGTTCGATCGACGCGCGACAATTTTTTTTATTCACCTCGCGTTC